GCCTTGTCCATATCTGGACAACCGAGGTTAACACAATGCTGCCAATCAATCCATTTCTGAGGCACCACAGGATGTTTCTTGCACAAGATAGCAGAGTTATAATAATCTAGCTGAAACAGACTTTGGAAACGGTCATCGTCAATGAACTCAGCAGTCGTATCATCAGCTGGATCACAGATCCTGTGGTCAAACACCCCTGCCTGATTCCGGGTGTAATCCTTGGACCGAGGGGGCTCATGAATAGGGTTAGGATTGATCTTACATTTCTTCATGACAAGCCGGTCATGCACCGGCTCAAGGGCAAAACCCTCATTGGGTAGGTCCAAATCAAAAGCCGACCGGGAAACGAGGGCCTTGTTCCGGGAGGCACCGACCTTGCGCTGAGGGCGCGAAGGGCCGGCGGCACTCGGTGGCTGCTCATTGGAGGTGCGAGCCGGCTGCTTCCCGCGCTTGGGACACGGCTGGGAGGCATCGGTCTCGGAGTCGGAATCATCACGAGACACCCTCTTGTGAGTCATGCTGAAAAAAATAAGACGATAACGGTATAAGAGACATGGCGCAAGTCGCAAGAGATAAAGCGAAGGCGAGCGTGCACTACGGGCTGCGGCTGCGACTGCGGGCAAGTGGTGGGCTGGTGGCTGCGATTAGCAATGCCGGGTACTAGTCACATGAATAGTAACCGCGAAGAACATCATGAACACGAAGAACGCTAAACCTTCGATCTAATAATCTAAGATAAAACCGCTAGAGCGAGACAATGTAGCACGGGGTCCATGAATAATACAGTAAGCTCTAGGGAAGGATTTGACCGAAGGAATAGGCCTACAAAGCGACACGTAAAGAGATCGGGCGAGGAGAAGATTTTCACCTTGAATCACGAAGAAGAAGCGCGAGGAGCACGTGCTCGAGAAGACCGGCCGACGACCACCACGGCGCACAAGAATAGGACAGGTGGGATGGACGGCGAGGGAACAGAGCGAACAGGGTGTGGCGGAAAAAACAAACGGCCACCGAGGGCGAGTGGGGTGGGGGGAGGACGGGGCACGCGCAGGAGATGCGCAACGGGCAGACGAGGGGAGCGGCGAGCAGACGGCGGGGGCAGCTGGACGGAACCGGCGGGCTGCGCGGCTGGTCAGCGGGGGGCAGTGCGGAGCCGGGAGCAGGCTGGGCGCAGGGGACAGGCAGGCGCACAACGGGCTGGGCCGCGGGTTTTGGCTCACACAGCGCGCGGCGACGGTTTGGCGACTCGCGCGCGCGCGTTTCGGAGGGTGCGTGCCGCGGTAGGGGGCATTTTGGGGTGGGGAAGCCTGGATCTGCTCCACCAGCCGGCTAGCAGCGCCTGTGGGCCACGGCTGCGTGCAGGCCGCGCTCGCCACCGGCTCTCAGTCTCACGACGCCCTGCGACTACCGCCGCTACCCACCCTCCCGTCTGCGACGTTGGCGCCGCTGGTAGGCGCTGCTGCATCCTCCCATTTTCCTCTCTTGAGCCGCACGTGCGTTTAGGTCCTCCTTGGCACACACCAAAAATCTCCCATTCTACATTCGGGCAGGTGAGGTGGCGGATGTTGATGGCGTGTCCACGGCCAGGGGCGCCCCTGCTCCAGCCCCATCCCGAGCCTATCTGCCCTGAATGCATTTGACAGCTACCAGTGTGTGCTCTGCAGGTTGAATGTTGGCGAGGTGCCTTGAAGATGTTCGATGAAATGTCTATATGGATGCACTAGGCTGTACGCACCACCGTCAAACAATTAGCCAATCAGGTACCACATGTTGGCATGTTTGCTCTGCCTGTGGCATGGAAAATATGTAAAAAAAAGTGCTTTACAGTATTTCTTGATGTTTATAGAGCATTTGTGGCAGTCCACGAAATCCTCAGACTCCATATTATTAATTAAGAACCTAAAATTCCAGGCACTAATATCTTCAACTATTATTTGTCGAAGGAAGGAAGAGAAATAATGTACAGCGACGAATGTTCTGGACTTCTGGGTCTTGAGCAGCAGAAAAATGGCATTGTTACCTCTGAAATTATTAGAGTACTCTAGCATCCTTTGATTGATAGTTAATTCCTCATTTAAAGGATAGTGCTATAGATTTTTTAAAAAAGAAGAAGATTTTGTTGGCTGCATCTATGGTGCCATTGCACACTAACCAATGTATGCATCAGAAGGCTAGCCCTATGAGGTTATTTGCTTTGTAGGAATAGAATTAGGATGCAGATATGGAACACATAGAGAAATTGTGCAATTGCCATGATTCATATTGCAGTAATCTTCTTAAAATGATTAAAAATGTAGCCTTCAACCAAAACACCAAGCTGTACATTTTTTTTTTTTTTTACTGGATCCTTCATATATTCTGATGTACCACAGTTGTGCATTTGTATGAACGAAGTGCTAGGTTGTCCATAGCAAATCAACAATATATGTGGCTGCCTCTCATTATGTATATTGTTTTAGCCTTCTATTAATCAACATGTATTGCAAGTCAAGATTGAATTTTATCTGTCACATGGTGATAGTACGCAAAAGAAGGAAATGCTCATTTAACCATCTGACCAGAGCAAACCATAGCCAGCTTCATGGCGAGGCAAGTGAACAATACCTTCAGTGGCTCCTGTAGTGCCAAATTTAATTTGACCAAATTTGATACCACCTATTGCAGCATGTGTATATGAAGCTTAATTACTGGACTGCACAGTTGGAAGTATGTGGAGCAAGCAGCTGGACCAATGTATACGCTTGAACAGGTGGAATTCCAAAATCCTTTCTACTTTACCATAATTACTATCTTTATGTGCCAGGAAGCTTGGGAAGGAAGGGTGTGTGTAGTTTTAATCTGGTGTGGTAGTATCAAGAGTTCCCAATAGGCTTTAATCTGCTCATTACAGCTTATATAGGAATAAAACTCCAAGCTGTGGGATGGCAAAATAGATGCAAATTTTAGCTATTCCTACAGCTTTGAGTTTGATTCATGAGATTGGGCTATGTGTTGCCCTGTGGCTTTGTGGAGACTGATTCTAATGTGTTTTTGGGGCTCCTGTTCTAATGATAACATTTTAAAAGGTTGATGACCTTACCAATTTAAGGATGCACACTGTTAGCTCTGGTGTTTGTTGCTTGGTTGTCTTTCACTCTAATTAGAGTTTGATTCGGGTGTGGTAATGCGATGTTAGTTTCATGTTTCCCTTACACGTTTTTGTCGATTTTAGTGTTTTCTTACTTTTTTGGAGGGTTGATGACTTTGTTGCTCTTTCAGCTTGGGACAGCAAGAAGCTCATTGGGAAATCCAGAGGTCTTTCTTCAAATCAAGGTTGTCGGCTTGGGCATACTGCACTATTATTGGTAAGATGCTTTTCCAAACAATATTTTTGAGTGCCTGTTAGTTGTTCATGTCTACATGGATGCATTAGGCACCATTGTCAAAATCAGGTACTGCATCTTTGCTCTACCTGTGGTATTAGTGGTGATATGAAAAGTGTAAGCCAATAGTGTCTGTACAGTAAAAGGGCTTAATTGTGAAATGCTTCTTCGTTTCCATGGTTTTACATTATATCTTAATATTTATGAACAATTTTAGCAGACTGAAAAACCTTGAACCTCCATATTATTAATTGAGGCCCTAAAATTGCAGAAACTAATGTCAAACTGATATCTGGTACAAGCAAGAAAAGGAAGAGATACGTGGAGTATAAACGCCGTTCTCGAACAATAAAAGCACTGAACAGTTAATAGTTTGTATCCTCCACATTGGGCTAAAACTTTGTCAAATATATGCACCTTTTTTCCATTTAAGCTACTAGAGATGGCATTGCTGTCTTTGTTTAGGGCCTCAAATCACTTTGCATTGGTGAGTGCAGGTACCATGTTCATCCATGTGGAAGGTTCATACAAGATGCTATAATTGAATTGGCAATAATTGCATTTTGTTGAAATGAAGATACCTAATTTCAGGTTGCAAAGTAGTTGTTTTTTAATCTTAGGTTCATTATTTTGCTCACGTCAACTTAAAAGAGTTTACCATTTAACAGTAGGTATGCAAATGATATTACCAAAAGCCTGTTCGCTTGGCTTATAAGCCGTACTTTTTCAACCAATAAAAGTATTTTTCTCTCACAACAAATCAACCAACAGTACTTTCAGCCATGGCTTATCAGGGCACTGCAGGAAGGTAAATTTTGTTTGTTTACTAAATCTAGTGTTCTGTGATGACGTATACACATGTACATTAATTTCCTTCAAGACATGTTTTAATGTTTTGCGAAGTTACTTAATCAGTCCCTCAAAAAAATGTCTTATCTTCTGTTAGCAATATATACAAGTGGGCTGGAGTGGACTTTCTTATCTAACACACGTTTCATAAAAAAAAATATCCAACACACACCGACAAAAAAAAATGTCCAGGTGCAGTTTGGCCCCTGGTGGATACTAGTAATAATACTGAAACTGAAAGTATTAAGAATCAACTTTGACAAGGACTAAACAGGCCCATGCCAGTTGACGGCTCACCTGTCGCCCAGTTTACATAGCCAGATCCTGCCATCGAGGCACTGTTGGCACTTGCATTTCTGCCCATTGGCATGTAATGTGTCCACTAGCGAAGTCACCTACATCTCAGCACTAAAATGACTGATGAGTGTGTTCTCACCCAAGTCACACTCAACAACTGCACAAAATCACTAGTTATGGCACTAGGTAACAGAGTTGTTCATGCATAGAAAGTGAGACACAATTTATTAAACAGTGACATGGGCATCCCTGCACACAATGATCAACGGCGTGTCTGCCTAGCTACTTGGCTCGCCATTGCCAGCACATGATCATTCAGACAAGGGACCTGTGTGGAACGAACCTTCATTCCTAATCTGTGGACAACTGCGTTTGCTATTTTTAAAAAACAACTCTTTCATTTACACTTCAGAAAAAAAAAAAAAACCACAAAGCAAAATTGCGTTGTGCTGAAGATCTAATCTAACGCGTGTCCGTGCGAAATTGTTGCAGAGGAGCTGAAGGCGGTGCTGTCCATGGTGACGGGGCTTGAGCCACGGGAGCAGAGGCTGCTGTTCAGTGGCAAGGAGAGGGAGGACGGCGACCACCTCCACATGGTCGGCGTGAGGGACATGGACAAAGTGCTGCTCCTCGAGGACCCTGCCCTCAAGGACATGAAGCTCCGGGCCACGCTCGCGGCCCAGACCGCGCAGAGCCCATACCGGCCTTTCATCAAGGTGTAGGCGGGCCTGGCACGGCCTGCCGCCTGTCTCGCTAACTGCTTCCTTACTAGTGCTTAGTAGAGCTAATCAATCAATCGCGCCATCAGCTGGTCAGGCTTCTCTTAACAGATATACTCCTACGCAGTACTAATCAGCTGATTAGTTTTATTAATATTTCTAAAAGCCTTATGCTGGCGGCTTAATCAAAGTATGTATGGTGTGATGTGATCTGCTGCTCCTGATCGCTGACCGACTGCCATTAACAAGTGCTATGTACCACTCTACTCCATGTGAGAGATACCGCTAGTCTGCTACTCCTTCAGCTGAGTTAGTGTGTCAGTGTAGCTACTTGCACTTGCAAGTGGCAAGTGTGGTGTGTGGACTTTAGTTATCGCCATGGCATGCTAGGTTCGGTTGGATTTGGATAGATGTAAAGCTTAGATTGTGCTTGCGACTTATTAATTGGGGTGCATGGGTGGAGAGAACTGGAGTGGAGATGGAATATTATTGCATAAAAGATTCAAGAGTTATTTTCATGACTCACGAGGCCACATTCTTGTGGCGCTGTCACGGAAGTAAGCGTATACCTTTTGTGCTGCGAGAATCCTGTTCCTGAATGAATGAATGAATGAATGATGAATCCCGGCTGCAGGAACTAACTTGGTAGGACTAGAATCATTACATGTTGACAGATAATTCATCTGCAAAAGCAGCCAGCCGAAAGGGAAGTTCGTTACCACTCCGTTTCACACTTCACACAGGGCCCGCACTGCCCCGAGCGACAAGAGGGGAAGGGCGCGTGGCACCGATTCGGGAGAGACGATGTAGCAAAAGGTGGAGAGGAGAGATGTAACACCCGATTTACTTTTGAAACATCTAACTACAACACTTGCAACGTACGTCTGAAGGCAGTTCAAACACTTGAAACATGCTTCTGAAACACTTGAAAAACACACATGAAAAACACTTAAAAACCATTGCAACCATACGCAAACATCCAAATAAAACACATGCAACGTATGTGTGAAACATATGCAACATCCAGATAAATACACTTGCAACATGCGCCCGGAAAACACAGATGAAACATACCTCTGAAATATCTAAAACACTCAAAATATGCTTGCAGCAGAAACAATTGCAACATATGCAACATCCCCAATCTACTTTTGCAATATCGATATAAAACAAATGCAACATACATCCTAAACGCCTGAAACATTTGGGAGGGGAAGGCTGGTCGGTCGATTCCGGCCGCCGGGTTGGGGTGGAGCTCGGTCGCCAAGTGAGAGAGGGCACCGTCGGGGGTGGAGAGGGCGCCCACTCCCCTGCAACACCGCCACGCCACCTCCATGGATCTTGCTCATGTTCCATGGATCTCGCCAGGGTGGGGAGAGGACCACCGGATCCGCGGGCGTTGGGGGCTCTCGGTGGGTGAGGACGCCGGGGTGGGGGAGAGGCACCGCCGGGGTAGGGGAGCACACCGCCACCGGCTAGGGAGGCAGCCAGAGGCGGAGCCAGGATTTAGATATAGGGGGGCCGGATCATCGAGTGTTCACAAAAAATATATGGTACCACCGTCAAATGTTGTGGCTTAAAGAATAAAAAGTTGCCAAATATCCTCTCTAACTCGCAAGTTTTCACAGTCGATTGATATTTTTCTTGAGGGATCAGAGTAAATTGGACGTATGCGTAAATTAAGAAAAATAGAGAATTCCAGATAAGAAAGCAGTAAGAGACAAAGAAAATATTAAGTTTGGCTAGTTAGAAATATTTCGGGGTTTCTACGGTAAAATCGTTTAGTAAGCTATTGTAGGAGACGGTTGGAGGGACAAATTTAAGGTTGGTATTTCTTATGCGAACTTGCTAGATCTATTAGATTTATTTGAGAAAAATAATTTAGAACTAGCTGAGAAGTCTTTGTTTGCTTATAATTTTTAGTTATTAGTGAGAACTAATGAGATGTATTTAATGAAAAGTGTGCAACATTAGGGGGGCAGGCCCCTGCCTGCCCCCCTTGTCTCCGCCCCTAGAGGCAGCCATGGCCGTACGTCAGGGTAGGCGTGGGACGCGAGCGCGGAAGGGACGAGGAAGCGAGGAGGTGCGGAAGCGAGCGGAGTGAAGTGTCCGTCCATTCTGAACGTGGAGCATTACCGATGAATGAAATGAATGGACAGCAAATGAAGTGGCGCACCCAACAAGACTAGTACTAGTCCTTACGCAAGAATAATAAACAGCGTCTTTGGTGGGAGTTGAGTGGGAACTTGCTGGTGTTCCCCGTTGAAGGGACAGCAGGAATGCAGGTCAGTGAACCTCTCGGTGCTCTGCAGCCGTGCATCATGACAACACGGGCAATCTGCCATAGTCGCGCGCACACCTCAATCAAGATATTATGTATTTGTTGCTAGATCTCAGCGCTGTTGTTGTCAACTCTCCCGACGCATTGTCGATCCACATCTTGCTTACTGCATCGACTGCCACCATTCACAACCCGCCGCGGTGCACCATCTGAGCAGCCTCCACGTAGGAGTACGTGCCTGAGAAACTATCCTTAGACTAAAGATGGCAACGGAACCGATCCCCAATTCTCCACGGTGAATTCTTCCATTAAAAACATGGATGGAGGAGAATTAATCCCACGGAGAAGGATTTGGTAGGAAGCCTGTCCCCATCGGGGATGGCGGGGACGGGAATGGTTGCCTGGTCCCGACCCTGATCCCTGCCAACCCACCCCGCGAAGCACGCAGCAGGCAGCCTAGGTGTCAACCCATGTAAAGACACAATAAGTCGCGGAGGTATATAACGCGCCATCCAACCCTAATTCCTCAATCCCCATCCGGTCACTCCCGTCCTCTGGCCGCAGCCGCAGCCGCAGCTGCCGCTCTCTCGCTCTCGCTCTCGCACGCTCGCCTCCAGCCGCAGCCACCGCAATCTCCTCTCGCTCCCAGCTGCAGCAGTCGCTTGCCGCTCCCTTGCTACCTTTTTCCAGAAGGCAACAAGTAGCAGCGCAGAGGCGCACAAGCACAGCCGCTGGCCACCATGCTCGACGTAGATCCGCGCACAATGAAATGGGCGCAGGGTGCAGCCGCAATGCCGCACCAACACCACGAGTTGGGCTCTGCTTCAAGGTCGAGACGCAGGCCTACAGTTTTCTGCCGTGCTCAATTTGGTAGAGGATTCTGTAGATCTTTTGTAGTGTCTGAAGATCTATCTAGTGGATTCTGGAAGATGGAGCCAAGCACCGATGGCTTTTGTAGTGTCTGAAGATCTTTTTCTTTTGCTCTTGTTTTCTTTGGATAGTATGAGATGTAAACTTGCTGATATTTTTTTAAGAAACGACTTCTAATGTAAAATCTTGTTTATTCGATTGATATCTGTCTTCATGCCATGGAATTTCTTTTTGCCTCTCAACTGGATTTCCTAACGGGGACGGAGACCCTGCGGGGATTAATTCCCCGTCCGGGGACGGGGATGGGGAAGGAAGTTCCCCCGCGAGCTTTCACAGGACCAGGGACGGAGATTTCTTGTCCCCGCGGGGACGGGGATGGAGAGCCAAACGTCGACGGGGATTTCCCCGTTGCCATCTGGACCTCAGACAACCGCACGGGTCAGAGTTTGGCAGCCTAGCTAGCTTTTACAAATTAAATAAGTTCCCCTGCTGCTTTTGCCAACCTTGACAAGAGCAGGAGTAGCAGTAAACCACTAACTTCGCATCATCCAAATACTCATGGTAATCCTAGTTAGCAGTAGCGCTAACGAACAACAGCTAGGGCGGTAGGCTAGCCCGAAGTTGCATCATCGTCCAGTGTCCAAAAGCAACCAAAAGGCGGCGTGTGCCCGAAGTAGCTCATCCTCCACTCGCGTCGGCGTCGCGTGTTGAGGGAGGGAGGAGTGCAAAAGGGAAATGAAGAGAGGCAAAGCAACACGGTACTCGTAGTGTCGTGTATGTAATCGGCCTATCGATGCCATGGCATGATGGAATGACGAGGCAGCGATGGGTACACTCGTACTTGTCGCTTTGGCGGTGTCCACTCCACTCGATCGGCGGCGGCCGGCTGCTTTGCCGAGCGTACGCGTGCGCCCTGCGCCGTGCCGGTTGGACCTCCACCACCAGTCACCACCCTTCCTTGCTCGCGGGGCGACGCGTGCGGTCTCGATCGGCTCTAGAGCCGTGTGAATATCTGGGGTGTCCCGAATCCGGATCCCTTTCTTTTGGTGGCCAGGTACGGTGACTCGACGTCCCGTCGGCACGCACGATCCTGACTGTCGGAATGTCACTCGCGGAAACGTAGCGGAACCCGCCTCAGGCCGCAGTGCCCTTGCTTTGTCCCGCCTCGTTTTGCACTCTGTCGCCACCCCGGCCGGCCGCCGGCGTGATGCACCCACCCAACTATACCCCTACGTACAAAGCACCAACTTATTACTTCACCGCCTCGAGCTCGATCGATCGCCGTACGTGGCATGTCTTGGGTGCAGTGGGTGAACGAACACCGAAGGCGAGAGGTACACACAATACTGTGCCTGCCTAGGATACACGAAGAAAACGACCTCATCACACCATGGAGGCGAAGGATTGGTGCGGCCGTTCGCCCCCACCAGTACCTCGGCGGACCCTGTTCGCTTGGCTTATCAGCCGTACTTTTTCAGTGAAGTAACAGTATTTTTCTTTCACAACAAATCAGCGAATGATACTTTTCAGCGTGTCTTATCGTCCAATGCAGCAATGCCACCGTAACAAGCTGCGTCGCACGCTTCCTCGTGAAGTTATAACAATCTTACACCTTTCCCCATATAGGCAGAAGTCACGGAGAGAAACATAGAACCACCTGCCACTGGTTTCTCCACTACAGCTGTACAACACATCGTGCCATTTCCCCCCCTTTTTTTTTTGAACTTTGCCATTTTCCCCTTTGAGAAAGTTGATGACGATTCCCATCGCGTCATTTTGTAAGTTTTATTTAGCATCCCTGACAAAGAAGACTGGCCAATTAATATCGTTCTCGCTTACGATTTTCAATTTC